CCTTTGTTTTTTTTCCATCCATTGTCCATTGTTGGAAAGTATTTGAAAGCACCTGTGGTACTCCTGCCCGGCTATGCCCCACTCAGTAACAGTCCACAGAGTGGTCATGCCTCACTAATTTGTACCTTCAATATTCCCTGCTACTGCTGATTCTGTCATTAACCTAACTGATACCGAGAAAAAACACACATGAGAACACTACGAAGCGTTCTTTCGTACGAATCGTCTCACCGTTGTCTCTTCCGCGAGGCAAGCTCGACCCACGAACCCCAGGCAGGTCATTCTGTGGCGACCGAACCCACCGACGATGGGGAGTGACGAAGCGGTGTGGCGACCTATACCTATACCTGCGCATTCCGGGAGAGGTGACGCTTCCTGGAAGGTCTATGAAGGTCGATTTCTCTGAGTCAGACTGGGGCCCTGCGCTATGGCCTGGGGCCCTGCTTGAGCACCTTTGGAAGCAAGGGGTGAAATAGTTGGAGGATGTTTGGGAGGAACATATGTTTGTCAGGACCTCCAAAAAGGACATTCTGCATGCTATTCTGCACTGCCAGGTGCCCCTCTCTTCCTGCGTGTATATATTCCAAATATATTCTGCACTGCCAGGTGCCAACCAAAAGAACTCGAAAACAATGAAACATTGCGAACATTGTCATGTGACCTCCTGGCCCTTTTTTCAAACTTCACCTCATCCCATCGCCACATTTCCGAGGATGCTCGGTGCGAGCCGCTCAGCCGCTGCTGCCAGGTGGTCATCAGCACCGATGCGCACAGCTCGGCCGATGACATCACCGTTGGTACGAACCTGGGAGGCGCCCCGCTGAGCTCCGAGCTGTCCAGGATTCGCTGAGCGGTGGTACTCGGCCTGACCGGGGGGAACTCTCGAGTGGACATCTTTTCGAGTGGACATCACCCAATGTACCCCAGAACCACAGGTGTTTGCTGAGTTTGCTGTCTACTGTTTCGGACAAAACAACGTTTGGTTCCAATTAGAAGCTTCAAACATTTCACAGCAGGCATGTTGGAGTCTGAAGGCACTATTGTTCAGCAAGGTTAAGAGGTGTAACTCACAAGGGGGGTATTACTGTAGATCCTATGTGTTTTTTATATCCCAATTTGTATGCGATATCACCGCAGTTTTCTCGGACCCAACGAAGCCCAACGGACGATGAGAAGAGGTCCCGACGTCCCGACGTCCCCAAGCTTTGGAAGAAACTGAGGATTGATGCAACTCACCAGCCCAGCAGCTCAGATCGACTGTCAACTCCTCACGCACCAGTGGACAGTGAGGTGTTTCTTTCCATCACTGTGAGACTCAGGCGGTCCACTAACAAGTAGTGTCACTAGTAGTGTCACAAGTGTCACAAGTGTCACGAAGGACCTATTCTGGATGTTGGTCCCCCCAAAAATTGATGCAACTATTGCCATTCTGGTCGTTGAAGCTGCTCATTCTTCAGCTTACGAAATCCAATGGCAGGGGTGAGCAGTTTGGAGAAGGGATGTTGTGAGCCCCTTTCATTAAACATCATTATTTGGGATTATTTGGGTGTGTACTGGAATAGGACCCACCCCTGGGCTTATTTTTCCAGTTGACACGGGGGCTTGGGTTTTGCCCATTTCAATAGCTATTGATTGATTGCACCTACGTTGCTGAAGCTGAGTCAACGAGCGTGTGCAGGTGAGGCCTGGCACTATCAGGAGAGGGACATGCATGAAGCTGTTGATTCCGCAGCGCGAGATGGCACATTTGTACACAGCAACTGGCACTGACACTCCAGCTGTCCTAAGACCATTGTCAATTGTTTCACCATTGTTGTCATCAAAACTTTGCTGATAGGCCCCTGCAGAAACACGATCTACGTACTCACAGCTTACACGAATGCGTACGTGCCCGAAGGTTCTCAAGTGCGGTAGGTGGCTGCCAGTCATGGCTGCCAGTCATGACCAAACAGTGCAGCGCTCCTTGCTTTCCAAGGAAGAGCCAACTCAGCAGTGGACAAATCTTCATGTGTCCACGCCGATTTGCCCCTCCAACAGGTCCATCAAGCTGCCACTGTGTCGTTCGCCCATGCCACTTTGATGTCCCCTGGGCCTCCCTACCTTCTGAGAACGTGGGACTGGAACAAGGGCTTTGGAGGGTCCAGTCATACCGAACCGGTTTGGAGGTACGACTGGAGACTGTGTGTCTTCTCGTGGAGCGATGGAAACGGGCAGCCGATCGCGGCCGGTGGGTTTTTATCGGCAGGACTGGCACTACGACAGGACCGGGGTGCGTCCGTGCGCTCGCTGCGTCCGTGAGCTTCCCACCAGACAGGTTTGGCCCCGACTCCGTGAACAGGACGAACGACGGAAGAGATGGCACCAGGGGACCCCAAAATGAATTCGAATAGTCGGAGCCGTCTGGGGAGGTCAACGACGGAAACAGGGTGAGAAACCCGGGGCTCCAGGGTGTTGATACTGCCGTAGGTTGCGCCGTTCCAGGTTTAGACCCCTTGTAATCAACCACTCCAACTGATCGGCAGTCCATTCCAGTCGGAGTCTTTGAGAGGTCCAGTGAGGTCCATCCACAGGGGGATCGGTCGATTTGGAAGAAACGTGGTGTGTACAGCCGTGGTGGAAGACGCTCCAACGTTCGTTGGAAGACGTCAGAATGCCACGTTCATTGATCATGAGGGATCTCACATCGGTGTACAGTTGAACCCTGAGCCCAGGGCTGGGCCCCAAGGGTACAGTGGGTACAGAGCTATAGGCGATTTGAGGATCATTTGGGGAGCCAATGTTGGTTCGAACGTTTCAATGAGTCCCTGGGGCATCCTGGCAAAAAGAGCTCGGATGCTTCTCGTGTTTGTCAGAAGACTAAAGATTCACGAAGAAGAACATCCGATCGGACAATCAAAAGTAATCCAATGATGAGATTCTTATAGATTCTTATTGATAAACCCAACTGGCAGGTAAATGAGGACCTACAGCATAATGCCAACAGGCAAAAGGAGATGTATTTGATATGCATTCTAGCGGAAATTGTCTATCTCTTTTTGGTGTAGTAATATAGAGAACAACTATGCATAGCTGAGTTTTGTTTGATGACATTATATTTACATCCTTCTCAATAAAGGCTATCATATCCTAGACCTTCCTGGCTTGGTCCAAGCTTTGAGCTCCTGAATCATTCATGGTGGAGGTAAATGGGACATTGGCCCCCAAAATCCGCGGCTGACCATGTTCAATCCGGATGACCAAACCGGTGAACTCACCCCACTTGCCATGATTTCAAGGAGCATCGTCGTTTTTGGGACAGGAAGTATTCCACCACCTTGCGACGGTCCATGACGCTGCACGTGACGGTGGTGGGGAATCCCGGCGCTGGAAGGGCTTACGGAATCAATAGGTATCAATGGATCAAACTCTTCCATATTCCATCGCATTATACTTACTAATTAAGATCTTGACTATGCGCATTTGCTGATGTACTGTGAGGTGCAGAAAGAAGAGATATTTGGAGGGGCAACACAACTCCTCTCAGGATTCATCATGAATCACTCAAGATCACCTTCACTGGGGCAAACCCCAGTAAATACTCCTGCGACGACGACGAGGATAGGAAAACAACACATGTTCAGCAGCAAGCTAAGCAGCTAAGAAACCAGCAGAAGATTGCATCTTGTGTTACTTGTTGTTTATTCAGCCAGTACTAGCAGTCAGAGCTTTCTCTGGAAGTATGTAGTCACCTGCGAGACCCTCCAAAACGGAGGTACCCTTTGACTCTGGCCTCAGAAGTGAAACTGCTTTCACTTCACTAATGACTATATAATAAAATATAATAATATATTCTTTCAGGGAGGTGTACCTTTTCTAAACCACTGCCACCCAAAGAGTCTCTCATTCAAATACCACATGCATCTTCATACCAACCCCCCCGGTGATCAAAAGAGTAGCTGGTGCTCCGAGTTCCGCCAGGTTCCGTCCACTACAAGGACCGCACAGATCACCACCACCTCTGCCGTCGATGTGCCGACGATGCTTGGCGACGATGCGTTCCAGGATCGCCGACCGTTCTGTGGAGCCACCGTTCTGTGGAGCATGAAGGCTTCGAGATGGAGAACCACAAAAGAAACATCCTGAAGTCCATGCACTTGTTGCAACAGTACATCATGGTTATTCGCGGTGCTTGTATATTTTTGTCTTTTGGGGGGGTGATCCAGCAATCAAAACATGATCTAATATGTGTTTTATCGTTTTTGCCTCTTTATGTCTATAGACATTTGTTGCTTTGGCCATGGATTGTTTACTCAGCGGCCGAGATCCTCGTCGCAATTGAGGTTCACTGACTGGATTCCACCAAATGGGGGTTCCGACTGGACAACCAGTGAGCCACTTCAAGTCTTTAAATTCCGGTCCGATGCCATTCCCCCTGGCCAAGCTTGGCTAGATCAGATCTCCAATTCTCGAGTTCTTAGAGTTCTTCACAGTCGGATTTGCCTGGGTGCTGACTGGCATGGCGGTTGTCCAAGATCCCTTTCCGGGAATCTTTTGGGGGACCAATTCTCTGGGAAGGGCAATTTGCCACTAAAATTTGCATGATGTGTTTGTTGCGACGGCTTTCTTCGCAGCAGCTTTGCATCTTGATCTTGGTTACCACCTATACACGGAGTACATCGTTGGGCTTAGCTGGATGGGGTCAAGGCTTCCAGTGTGGCTGGCTTGTGTCATTTCGCAGCCAAATAGCCTTTTTTCAGCAGAGGTCTGGAAGGCCTTCAAGCGCATTCTTAGAATCTTTTTTTCGTCATCATGAGTCTCACGCAGACGGGGACGGGTCAGTGTTTGAGGAGTTGGGAGATAAAGGGACTCTCAAGCAGATGGAGTTCGATCTACTTTTCTAGCTCGATCTTGGAGGCCTTGACGATTTGAGGTCCACGAACTAGAGCGGCGATAAGCCTAGGTCTCTCAAAAACATCAGTGACTAGTTTGCATAAGCTCACATACCAAGCAAGCTTTGACTATGCAAATCAAATTCCCTGACTCGCAGCCAAAGTGGCTGATGCATGTGGGATCAACCAAGTGCTTCTACTTCTGGCGGCCAGCATCCTTCGCAAGGCAAGGGTCAGGGAGGCGTCCGGGCCGGGCAAGGATCACCTATGATTCTGCAATATTCTGCAGGATGTTTTCTATGTCAATTATAGTACCCCAGACCATCCATGTAAGACATATGTTTACCTACATTGCGGGTGGTTTCAGCGGTTCAATACATACACATATAAATATGCAATATGCCATACATGGATGGTCTGGGTATAGTGTCCACCTATGACTATGATGACTATCTGTGGTCTGTGGAGCATTTTCCCATGAAAGTCAGCCAATAAAGATAAACCACCTTTCTGAGATCTTTTTTTTATTTGCAAAGTTACAGCATTGGCCAAGATATGTGTGGTTCTTTGTTTGTGAATTGGAATGATTACTTGGGAATTGGTGAAAGGAACATACGGATGATCCTTTTTTTGGGGAATGTGGGAATAATCCTTAGCTCTATTTTGTGTAAGGGATACTATGTAAGGGGCCTTCATGGGGAAATTCACACGTAAAAACTACATGTCGAATGCGACGCAGCCAAGCACAAGTCTGCAGAAAGGCATAAGGCAGGCGTCGGGCAATCTATAGTTAAGTTTATAGACGTTTGTGCTGATTTGCGCTGTATCTAGGGAACCTTTAGTGACAGATGGATAGCAAAACCAGTTGGTTGCTCATCTCAAATCAAGGTCAAAGCTGTGGTCACAACATGTTGGAAGGCCACGGGATTGCGTATGCAGCCGAGGGGACTTCTTCGGGACTTCCCAGTTAAACAGTTAGCACAAATAGACTACCCGACTACCCCATGATCATGAAAAACTCACAAAACCGTTTGTAGAGCAACATCGTCTTCGATCTTCCAACCTGTCCAAAGGCTTCAGCCATTTTTCAGGGTCCATGTGCGTGACATCGGGCGTGATAGATTTGCACCTTCCTGGCCTTTCGTTTGGAAACCTCGTACCTTGACATCAACCGGCCACCTTCGGCGCCCACCTGTCGCGGCGCGACCGGAGGCGCTCTCGACGACTCCAGCGCGTCCTCCTCGTCCGCGTCCGACGATGAGCTTGGCTTGCACCACCTGGTGCCACCCGACCGATGGTGCATCACGCGCGAAGACTTGGCCTTTCTGCGGAAGGAGCGGCTTCGTTGGCGGGTGCGTTCGGAGTCCGGACCCACGCGTGGGGTCGCGCACGAGCACAGCTCGGGCGGCCACGAGCGGTTCGCGAGGGGCAACGAGACGTTTTCGTTTCCGACAGCGTGGGACTATAGGTCAACATGCAGGCGCGCTGACAGGAGGGGTTGACCTGGTGCGGGACGGAGTCTTCGAAGAAAGGGGGAAAAGAGGGAGGGGGTTCCAGCAGCCGGTGATGTGCTGGGTAGGTGAATCTCTGTAATTATATACCCAGAAATTCCAATGACTCATGAACTACTCTACCTGGTAGTCAATCCATCCACCACTCCCAGTAAAAATGATGTAAAATGAGTGCATGACTGGAGTCTCAGGGTTAGCTAAGCCAACGTCGACAAACATCCTCCAGGCCGAGGCCGTCAAGTCGGGCGGCGTTTTTGGTCGAAGCTGACTCGGTTTGACGTAAGAGATCATAACCCAGACACGACCCATGGGACTGCCAGTCAGGACTGCCGATCAGGCCAGGGGTGGTTGACTGGGGGTCAATTGATCGGCATATATGGCAGTCCCATGGAGTGTTTGGGTAAGATCAGTTCAATCAGTTCATAAGACTCCACGGTTCAAACAATTTTGTTGCAATGTTGTTGGTGGATGGCTATCAGCGGCTATCACAAGGAAGATGCATGGTTCAATCTCATTCCCACGTCTATTTTTTTTCAGACTTCATCCCACTAGATCCCACTTCCATAGTTGAGAAAAAAGGCGAGATGACCTCCATGCTCATGACATTGACCTGAATCGGGAATCACTCGCGTTTTCCTCTTCGCGTCTCATCGCTCGGGTCTCATCGCTTTCAGGAGATTTACCATGGAATCCAAAAAGGCGAGATCAAGCCACACCAGAGCCTCGCTGCGGTCTCCGACGTCACCGTCGCGGAGACGACGTCAGCCGCGTTCGGAGACGGCCATGGCCGGCCGCGTCCGGCGTTCTGACAGGGCGTTTTTGAGGTTTTGTTGGATCCAGAAAGTGGGACTATGGAAAGCAAATTCAAATGGATATGAGATTCATATATCAAGCACAACCGAAGCTTTTGATCGGGGTGAGCCTTCTTCTGATCGTGCTTCCGAGCGATTCCTGGCTTTCGAGCGCTTGGTTTTCTGCAGCTGACACGGTGAGCCAACTTAGGACAGATGACTTCCAAACTGCAGATCAAGTGCCTCGGCTTTGCATGGCAATCGTTTGGATGTTTGTTGTCTTGGAAACGACTCGTCACTCTTAAAACGTGCTCATTGAATTCATGTCCAATTGACAACAAGTCAAATCAAACATGAACAGAACACGTTGCAACACGAGTTCTGAACTGCCTTGCCATACTACTGCATCCGCGTCGATCGATCATGCAAGTGGTGAATGGGGGGAACTTCCATCAATGGAACTTCGACTTGACCGACTTCTCGAGGTGTTTGGCCCCAGCATTTACACGGTGAATGAGCAGTACATCAAGCCGGTGACGAAGCGGGCGGGGAAGATGAGCTGGGCCTTGATGCGGAATCCCAAAGGATACATGGCCTGCAGAGGTAGAACGTGACCTGAACTAGGACCTTATAGGGGTACCTATGGGATAATCTTATAGGGTTCTTCAACCTCTGTTTGGGATGGGCGATTTTTACGGATTTTTTTTGGGGCGTGTGTGTTGGTCTTTTCCTGCGTGGCGTATGCAGGTTCGTTCGGGTGTTCGTTGAAACGGGGGCCCCTGGAATCAAGACAGCAAAGAATGGCAAGATTTTGAGGTTCAATATGTTCACTGCTCAAGGTGGAATCCTAGATTTCTTGGAAGCTACGGGTTGGCAGGCAAGCTCACAGTTCTCCTAGCAACAGCACCAGCAGTAGGAGTAGGAGGAGTAGCAGTAGCAGTAGCAGTACTAGATAGTAGGTAGGAGGGTAGGGAGGCAGGTAGACAGTTAGGCAGGCAGGTAGGCAGGTCGGCCAGCGAGCGGGCAGGTAGGGGGGAGGCAGGTAGGAGTGGTAGTATTTGTAGCATTGGGGCAAGCAATCAACACCGGGCAAATAAAACAGAGGCTGCAGCATTGTCCAAAGACTGCAAGCCCCTCCAATCAGAATTAGGGAGAGGCAAGGAGGTTGGATGGGTTTTTACTCATTTTGTCTTCTTAGGTTGCTGTTGCTGCTGTTGTTGTCGTTTTCTTGTTGCTGTTGTTGCGCGGATCGGTTTCACGACATGATGACACTCCGAAAGGGCTGATGTCTTCAGGATGTAAACTTACTCAATATCGATAGAGCCAGTGTAATTCAGGCAACACGGCTGGAGTTTACATATGTTTCCACGGTTTGAGAGCTTGAGCTGTTTCACAGGGTATGCATAGTCCGCGTTTCCCTTCCAACTGACACAACGTTTGTAATTGAATACCCTTTTTGCCACAAGATCAAGCAGGTACCCGTAGTCATGGTGAAGAAATACGGAAGTTGAGCCCCTTGTGGATCGGCAGAAGACATGTTGCTTTTCAGGCACATCAGGTGCCGTTGCTTCCAAACAATTAAAGAGACAACACAAGCTTTTATACGCTTGAAGGGTCTTGAGGGTACTCTCAGAATCCACTCCCCAACAACGGGCCAATCTTGGGATTGGCAGAGGGAAGCTAATCCGATTGTCCGTCAGAACGCGTGATGTCAGATGGAAAAAATATCCATCATCCCATTCCACTCGATCTCGAGAAACATGACCAACCAACGGTTGAATCCAACCTCCATCATCCCGGAACCCACTTCAGGATTGGAGTGCCACTTGTTCATCAGTCACGCATGGGACACTTGGAGAGCAAGGCAGCCACCGACAAAGAGCATGACATGTCCGGCTGCCGGGCCAGCTTGCTTGACGTGTGCGCGCCGTAGACTTGATCCAGCTGTGAGCTGTGCGAACTGTGAACTGGCTCGATCACTGTTGCCTACTATACACACTACAGTACACTGTGACTACACTGTCAACATTCCTCACGTGGAAATGTAATTCTAATGCTCACAAGCTCCCAAGCCTTACTGTAATAAGTCAGCACGGGGATGCCTTACAGATGAACCTGCTATTGAGTGCGACAGCGGGAGATGTGGATACCTTGGGTGGAGACCAGGTTTGAGTGTCCCTGACTTGAGGTCCCCCAGGCTGAACACCCAATGCAACACCCTGAAGTAGCTCCCTGCCATTGATGTGCACCAGAAAGCACTTGCATGTTTAATTGTTGAGAGAAGCTTGAAGGACATGTTTTGGTTGAGACCAGTTATCTGAAAATCAGCAGTCGAGGATGTTTGTGCCCTTTTTCGACACGATCACCGCTGTATGAGTCAAGTGCTGAATCAATAAAACACTTTTGTAGATGGTCCAGTAGATATGTCCAAGCACCATATGGGTCATCCAGCAGTTCTTTGCACCATATGGGGCTTGTGGATGGCCAATGGAGCCATGGTAAAGTTCTACGGCCTCAAGGCCTCAAGGCCAACGTATGAGCAGATTTTGATAGGCTAGTAACTTGAAGTGTTCATAGGGCAAGTTGAAGCTTTCATATTCATAGGCCCTACAACTCTGATCCATATTCGATTGAAGGGACTCTTTTCAGGCCACACACCTAGCCACTTTGCCTACCTAGCTGCTCAAGCTGAGCTGCTGAGCTGCTGAGCTGCAGATCCAACCCATCAGACCCGAGCGACCAGGCCTTGATCCAAGAGAGGTATCCAGTGACCTGAACTAGGACCCTACTATAGGGTACCTATATACCCATACACGACCCATGGGACTGCCAGTCAGGACTGCCGAGAAACGGCCAGGGGTGGTGCCAGGGGGGGTCAATTGATCGGGATATATGGCAGTCCCATGGAGTGTATGGGATATGGGCTGGTCTATAGGGTTCTTCAACCTGCGTTGGTCTCCCAAGGAGGAGGGCATCTACGAGTTCATCCGGAAGGTGATGCACAGTTGGATCGACGCCCTGGGAATGCGCTGGCCACGCGCTCGCGGGATGCGCCATGCCTGGTGCTGCATGTTGGCGAATCCGCAGAACTTGAACATCGTGCCATGGCATCAAGACAAGCCAAGAGGAGCTCAGGATTGAGGAGGTTTGAGTAGGAATTTTCAGGAGGTTGGAGCAAGTTTTCTGTTTTTGGGGATACCAGATCAAGATTTGCTTTTGCACCCAGGAACCCTCCAACTCCGTGGCCGGCGACTTCTCGCGTCCGCGCTTCGAGTCCCATCCCTCCCGCTCGTACCGAAAATTGGACAGAAAAAACATGAGTAACATGAGTCACGAGTATATATATATATATATATCCGGCATACCGCAGACGCTTCGTGGATCGTCATGCACGAGTGGTGATATAAAGTATATTATAGATATAAATACCATGCATATATACCTGGACCCTCCAAAGTACCGTAGAAAATGGCACATGACCCCATAAACAAAAGGTACTTGTACCCATTTTTTGAAGTACTTTGAGACTCCAGGTATGAACATGCACACCTTCCACAGATTGGAATATGTGGGTTACATATTGGATCATATCATGACACATCCTGATCTCAAACAAGAGCAAACAAACAATCAGCCACTGGAGCCCGATCCAACGTCAGCAAAACAGGGCTGGGAACATAAATGTATTTCAATATATATATATACCCATTGACATCAATTGACCCGTTTTTTTGGTCATTACGGCCTGTCGGCCAAACTTGCTCATTTTTTTGGTCACTACGCCATATACGCCATAATGACTGGTTTTTGGTGGTCGAACGCAGTTCCAGGTATATATTATATCCCAGATGATCCATGGTGGCAAGCAAGTCTCGCCATCCCATGACTGGTGTGCTTAGGCTGGTGGTTTTCATGTAGGTCATGTGAAAACACCAGCATGGATCAATTTGGATATACTTGTATGAACTGAGCTTCAGTGACATTTGGATCGCACCGGACCTACCTGCTTTGCTTGCAATGGACCTCGTGTGGGTCCGCACCCGCTCCCTTTCACCGTGGGGTCCACACCTCCCAGGTGTCCCCCGGGTGCCAATGACGAATCGCCGAGTCGCGGACGTGTCGAGCCGCACCGAGGCCGCCTTGATCCAGTCACCCAAGAAGTCGCCCTTTGCCGTCGCCCTTCGGGTGGGCCAGTACGAGTTAGCAACCGGAGAATTGGTTGTGCCAGTTGTGCCCCTTTTTGTGGTACCAGATGTTTTTAGTTCTTTTCCGACGGAGCAGGATGGACCTCGCCGTCACCCCCACGATACTAGAGTCGTCCTGCAGGTAATTGAAGTATATATTGAAGTGATGCTTGAAACTAAGATGATCTGGTCTTTGCATGTCTTTGTTTTGTCGAATATGATGCTCTTATCTTGCTGCTTTTGAGCCAATTACTATAGGTGCCCCGATCCTCAGCACCTACAAACCAAACCCTATAGATAGTCTACTGCTTCTTTCACGCACCCAGTCCTTTGTTAAGAGCTAATGCGTTCCGGCCGAACGCCCCACGCGAACCCCGAACCGTTTTCCCCGGCCACCGGTCACGCTTCACCCCGCTGGTGGAGGCCTCGAAGATGGTCTTGGTGGTGCCCAACCGGCACCGGAGCGTTTACACGCGCCTGTGGTGCGGCCCTTTGGGTTGCAGAGGATGAACAAGTCGGGTCAATTCGTTTGGGTCCAAAATGCGCCATGAAAGTCTCACTGGAGATCACATCAACATGCAAGATTTTGGGGTGAGGAAGGTATGTGAAGGTTCTTGTAGAACGTGTAATAGCTACCAGCACCCTCCAACAGGTGTTTCCTGGTGACAACAGGTGTCCAGAAACCACCTGTTAGGGTCTCCAAACAGTCTGTTGAAGGGTCCTGGTATACTGGTATATAGTTTCCATCTATATAGTTTGTACATATACTTAATAAGTGCTACAACTCGCACCAAATGTAATGGCCAGTTCCTGCCACCCTTTGTTTTTGCTTGTTTCTCTCTTTCTCTTTCTCTCGCAACCGCCGGGCATTCTCCGCCGCTCTCCTCCCAGCGCCCGAGGCTATGAGGCGTACCTGGCACAAGAGGCCGGGAAGCCCATTGCCATCGCCGGGACTTCGGTGCGCCACTGGACCTGGCGATCCTTGAAGTACATGTGCTTCGTGCCTCGGCACGACGACGACCACGTTCGACCTGCTGGGCGATGGGGCGTTGTTGTTGTTTTCGATCTGTTCTTTCTTAGCTGGGCGATGTTTTGAGTTTTGTTGTTTTGTTCGACCCGTTTGTCTGTTTGTTTTGTGTGTGTGGTCCTGTGTACCTGGAGTTTTCTTGAGTTTGAAGAGTCAGGCATCTCTGATAAAACGAGGCATTGAAAGAGGATTGGAAAAACTGAAGAGGTCACATTGCATAAACATATTATACATTATACATTGAATTGTTTTAACTTAGAATTTAGAATGACTGATATGTAGTTTTTATTCATTGATAAGTGAGTGAAACTCTGTGTTGAGCTTCTTCTGAAGCAATGTAGATCTTACATACATTGGGGTGGTTGAAAAGCAGTCCCTGTAGGCATAGAGGTTTAAATCCGGGACCCGTTTAGCTCGGTTTTGGTATGGTTTGGTCGATTTCCCGATGTCCCGAAGCCGTCGTTGCCACACCTGGCAGGTCTCCCTATGTTGATTCACACCTATATGATATGATATATAGATAGGCTAGGTGACCTACAAAATTTAAGTCCCCGATACCGGTCATGTCTTCCTCCCCTCCTGGCACCGAGCACCTCCTTTTTTTTCACCCTCGCACCTCCCTTGACTCCACACCCGCAGACACTCCAGGCTGCGGTGCCTGGAGTGATTTTGGGTCAATACGTCAACAGCCACGGTTGGAAATGGTTTCGCTGGTTCCTTTGGCTTCCGAGCCTGGCGGCCTTGCTGGGGCTGAATGCGCAGGATCACGAGCAGCTTGGGTGGATAGAGGCTGAGGGTGAAGGCCGCTGGACTGTTGGAGTAACAATGAATGATTTGTGTGGCTTTCCGTTGTAGCTATGGGCAACTACAGAACTAGCGACGACAAATCTAGCAAAGAGTAGTGTTGAGATATTAGATGATCTTGCAGAGTGGGTCTAAAACCTTCAAAAGCACCTTCACCAGCTTGAATATGTCACATCTCATGGGTTTTGGGCTTGTTTCCAAGCCATTTGCCCACCAGTGTTCACCAGTTTTCACTGGTGCGACCGGACTTGAGTGCGACGCTGATGGTGACCAGGGCCTTTCAGTTCTTCTGTACAAGACGATGGGGGAAAACCCTCTGCATGCAGCGATCCAAAGTCCGTGTTTTGGTCCGTGCAGCTCATGATCACCCCTCCAAATCTACAGTGCCGAACACATCACCGTACCTGATGAGAAGGTACGACTGGATCCCTAGGGTCAGTATATAGCAACTGTTTTTGCTTGGATCCAATGACACCACCCAATCCTGCATTCAACTATAACAACAGCATTGTCTTTGTCTCTCTATTTTCTCTCCATATATAACAGTATATATACCAGCACCTTGCAGCAGGTGGTTTTTGGACACCCCGAATCAAGTCTAAGAGGCTATTCACAGACACCTCAAAAGAGGGTGCTGGTATATGTATATATATATATAAATGTATTATATATTGAATCTCATTCCATACTATACCCCAGACGCGACTAATGGGACTGCCAGGACGGACTGCCGAGAAACGGCCAGGGTGGTGCCATGGGGGTCCATGGGGCGGCAGTCCGTCCTGGCAGTCCCATGTGTCGTGTTTGGGTACAGATGAATATCACTGGCCGTCGTGAGGTATAGCATTCTGGTGCACGGCTTTTGCGCCCCTCGGCCAAAAGGTCGGCGCGGACGGGCCCCGAACGGCGCGAGCCTCGCGGCCCGTCCGTTCGGTGAAACTCGTGTGGGCAACACGGAGGGCCTACAGTCAGTTGAACAGTTGACCAGTCAGATTGGATTTGGGATTTGGGATGAACAGTTGACCAATGGACCACAAGATAACATGGTTAGTGAATTGGGTTGAATGTCACGGGGTACTGTAATCCTTCTGATCACCTCATCTGAAATAGTGCCCCAGGTGATCTGTTTGTGTTTGAAACAAAGACACCAAATCCATACACCCAGAGACATGTTGAAAAGACAGCAGTTGCAGCAGTAGAACTCAAAGTAAGATCAGTCAGACTGTCAGGGCATGATGTATGCCCCACTCAAAGCCTCTTGGATCATGAGGGGTGGCAAAGATAGACCCCTTAATCAACCTCTATAGGGGTCATCAAGCAAGTCAACCTGTTAAGTTTTCTTGCCGCACTCGGTACTTGATTGGCTGGACTGCGAGTCACCCCGTTGCAAGCCCCGCACGAAGCACACCAAGGAGATGGTTTGCTGGATTGAGATCGCCAACTGCGATGGGAGTTTCCCCAACGGTCACGAATGGGGTTTTCCGGATGTGGCATATCCCTATGTGCATCTCTGGCATCTTGGACAGATGGATTGATGGATTGCTTGCAAGTCCGAGTTATATATCTTTATATGATGTGCAGTTTGGCAGTTCCACATAGATTGGACATGTTCCATCATTTTGTAGACTAACATGGAACAAGTTTGGCTCTTGAGACACAGACAGTTCGACAGCAGTCCATGTTCAGGTTCGATGTGTGGGGACTTCTCAGGGTGAACCATTTAATCTCGAAAGGCTTGAAGATGCCAAACTGATCTTCCACCCTGAGAATCAGATGTTGGAGAGTCCCTGGTGCCTACTTCCGTGATTGTTGCGTTTCTTCCTACTGCTACTGCTATTGCTGCTGCTGCTGCTGCTCCTACTACTACTACTCCTCCTACTACTCCTACTACTACTACTACTACTACTACTACTACTACTACTACTACTACTCCGACTACTCTGACGACTCCCATGATTCCTACATATTCCTCTATATACTCCTACTCTAAAACCAATAAGACTACCAATAAGGCTACGTACCACAGCCACGTTCCCACACTGCCACACTCCCTGACCTGTCGACGACACGCAGGTATTGGGTCATGGCAGCCAGCTTCTTCTGTCTCATGGAGGTGGACCGGATCCATTTCTGGTGCAACCGATGGGAAGCCGAACAGCTCAAGCGCGACTACCGTGGCTCCATCAGGCGACCGCGCGAAACCGCGGGAGCGAGGTCTTAGCCAAGATGCACAGCGCGGTGGTGTTTGGCTCTCTGCGTTTGCCCTTCCAAGTTGAGGGGCTTAAAAGAAGTTCTGAAGCAAGAGGATGAAACAAGATGATACTCCATTTTTTGCCAAGGTTGTGCAGACTTGTTCTTGACGGTTGTGAAGAAAAACAACAACGTGTTCCAGTTTTTCCACTTTTTGTCCTTCAGATGTGGTGCTGAGGTGTTGGTGGTAACGTGTTCCACTGGGCGCAGGAAGTTCCGTCTATATGGTTCCATTGCCGAAGCTGCCACCAGGGCGGTTTGCTTCGATGTCAAGACCCGGAGTTGGGGTGATTTCCAGGTAAGTCGTGGGCGGCAAGTGAGGTATAGATTGAAATCATCAAATCGATGTCTACCAGGACCTTCCAAGTCCGGTGGTTTTTGGCCACCTCGACTCACCTCTAAGAGGCTATGGACATAGACACCTCTTGGTGTCGGTCCTGGTAGATTGAATTTGGACCTTCTAAGAAAACGGGTGGATGGCGGCTCCATGGAGTGAGCGTATGCGCGAGCAGACCAGCGCAGGTATGCCGAGTGCTCGCAGCCCGAAGATGCACAGAGAATTCAACTGGAAATTGGACAGGAGGAGAAGTGGCTCAGATGCACAGACGGGAATTCCGGTGAATGATGGTGAAGTGCCGTAAACTCTGTGGCTCTATGGCTCCATGAGAGTAAAAGGAGAGAGATGTGATGACATTTTTTGTTCCACATATTCACCAGGAGGAGAATGATGGAGAATGACCAGAGGTGAATCGGAGTAGGTCGGGTCGGGGTCCCTGGGGTAGCTTCCGTCGATCGAGTTGTTTTGGCCGTTTCGAAGGAATCAGCGCCGTTTCGTCTGACACAGCCGCGTAGCCTTTCTTTTTGGACTGGGCAACCTGTCCCATGAAAAATCGCCTACAGGAAGACAGGCACTGGTGCTCCCTATAGAAGCTGCACAAGGCTGTGAATTGCAGAGTATGCTTGCCTCCAACACAAGAATCTAGCTGAGATACACTCTCCTTTAATCATACAACCTTGGTCTTAGATCTTAGGATTTATGGTCATCCGAAGTAACCATGATGATTTCTCACCACCTTGATTTTAGCACCCTGGTGAAGATCTCTCGTTCGGAACGACGACCGAAGACAGACCTCTCCAAGCCACCTCCGATTGACTCGGAGCTTATCTGAAGAGATATTTGCAAAGCCCACAGTGGATCTGATTCCGGATTCTGTGTGGCAGCTCTTCGATGTTGGTTTCTTCACCCCGAAATGGTGTGTTGAAACAAATATAGTTTCTTTTGGTGTCCATCTCACCCATCTCAAAGGTTGCTTGGGTCTCATTCGATCCCTGAGGAAAAGGACTATATATATATTATAAACTATATATATAACTATATTAATAAACACATCTTTTGAAGGAACACCTGAAGTCAGACCCAGTTCGGCCCCGCTCTTCGCGGCCGGCCCCGCTCTTCGGTTCGTGCGTCGTTCGCTCCTGCTTTCTGGTCGAGGTTCCAAGAGGTGGACGATGCCATTCAGGCGCAGCTGGGGAGCCTTCCGCCTGGCTGAGCCGGTTGGCCTTAGGCCTGCCTCAAGTCGACATCCTTTCTACAAACCAACAGAACATATTCATATCCAACCCTAGGGATCCAAGTGACAGAAGGTACGACTGGACCCTCAAAACCTACATAAGAGTATCTCCAATCACCGTACCTGAGAAGGTACGACTGGATCCCTAGGGCAAGTATGCCTAACATGTCCTACAGTGGGGTGGTTCGGGAGCACCATGTATAGGCATATATGGCAGTCCCAGACAGGTCGTGTTTGGGCAATGGTAGGGCCTCATTTGAGTCAAACGATGGAAGAGACTTCACCACACGACTGTAAACAGCCCACTTGCAGTTCTTGCTCCTTGATGTGGGTTTCTAAGAGGAGATGAGAGCCCGAATGAACGGATGAACGTGATGGGTGGTAGAACCAAAGCCAAGGACCACCGGTCCAGGTGGCTGATGGGGTATCCAACAACCCACACATCAGGCCTAGGCCCTAGGCCATCACTCCAACACCGCAGAACTCTGCACGCGGAAGCCTCCCGACGGACGCATAACACCGTCCGCTCGCGTGTGGCCTGGCAGGTGCTGTTGACCGCTCGGATGTCTTCCCCTGCCTTGTGCCACATCGCCAGCCTGGGTGTGGCTCAAAGGCACTGCTGGAGGTTGTCTCATTTAGAAATGATTTAAGCAAATGCAAACAGCTATACTGGCTATACTAGTCATGCCCTTTGCTACTATATAGTAGCTTTGTGTTTCTAGTAGTACTTCCAGGAGCTACTAGTAGCTTCTGGTAGGAGGGCGGGGGTAGGTTTAGACTGAACCCGATCAACCAGGTCAGACCAACAGCCCTGGGTCTCCTCTCGCTGAGGTGGACATCGACCAGGCGGCTTATTCAGAGATCACTGCAGCTGTGGTGGTGTTGGGTCCTTTTGATCTCTGGCTGCGGAGACCGGGAGATTCCAACGGTCAGGGGCGCGGTCAGGGCGCTTTCTGTCCAATTCCGGGGTTGGAATCGAAAAGGATGACGGGCACCGAGTGGGAGCGGTTGGGTGAATATCTTTGACATCTAACCGAGGGACCGCCTATTTGTATCACCCAGACACTCCATGGGACAGGCATATTTACACCTTTATTGGGGTGTACAATTTTGGTGAAAATCCAAACGCTTCGGATTGGTGGTAAGCTTTGGAGTTTCAACTCGGTGAGTGCAGACCCTTGCAAGCATTGATGGCATTGCCACCACATTTGTTTGTATTATATTGATGATGCAACTGCGGCAACTCGGAACGGGGGGAACTCAGCATGTGTTGTTTGATTTTTGCCGGTTTGTCACACCTTGCACATCTCCCACACCTATCTTCGGCACACGCGTTTCCAGCCCCGGCACCACGGCGCGAGACAGATCAGCGCGCCGACCTTGCAAAGAACTTCCATGGTGGAGTCGACCCGGAACTCGTACTTCAGAACATGGGTACAGTCGTACCTGTTTGTTTTATAATAGGGTCATGTCCCATTTTCTACTTGAAGTCGGGTCCAGGTACGTAATTGGTCAAGTCCTAAATTCCTGGAATCACTTGAGATTCGCGGAATCACAAGTCTTTTCTCAAGATGACCGGTGCATGTTAAACCAAATGTTAACTGTTTCGTACACCTGCAAGCAAACCCCCTAGGTCTTTTTCGTTTTCAGTAGGTACCGTCATTTTCTGGAGCCAGCCAGACCCGAGGATTTGCTGACCTTGGGACACTTGCTCTTTGAGATGATTTACGAGGGTTCTCAACAGTGGCACATCGAAGTGCGCTTCGGCCCAAAAGCATCGCCATTTTGCCCTCAAGTTGAGTAGCTGCTGTCGATGTAGAGCAGAAGGCTCACTGGATGAAGTGGATATGAATTGTTGCCGGTGCCAACTGGATCAATTCAAGCAGAGGGTCGAGTGGTGATACATACCTGCAGGACCCAGTGAAGAGAGAGAGAGAGAGACGCCTTAATTACGTGAATTAGACATAATGAGACACCCCCGCTGGCCGTCCGAACGGTCGTTGTTCTTTTCACCCGCTGGCCACGGCATTTGTCGGACCCGTGGAGTAGGTCCGTCGCCACGGTCGCTCTATACGTCCCAGTCGAAGTCCAGGAGTCCAGAGTCCAGGAGCAGAGGAATCCAGTCCCACTCTTTGTATCCCATATGTATACTGACATGAGAGGGTGCTTTGGGGCCAACTCCATTGAGAGTAGCAGAGTAGCAGTCATTGTCTGGCATTGGAGTGGGAGAGGAATGGAAGCCCCTCCGCTGCGGCCAACTCCATCCACTCCCTCTGGGAGAGTCAGCGGTCCCTTCCGATGGATGGGAGTTCCACTTAAGTTCAAAACCCCCCCACCTCCCATCACCGGGTGCACAGCAATGTAGATTGATCAATACACCCTTCAAAAAGAAAACACTCCGACAATTTGAATTGCAAAACCTCTTCATCACAGTTTTAAAAACATTAAAAAAAAACATCTTAATCACCCATAATAAACCCCTTCAGGCCTGGGGGGACCCTACTTTCATTCAACTGAGTCTACATCGCCGAGGCTTCAAGGGATGAGCATCATGGGGCGCTTCCTGCTGCTGTGGCAACTCTATCGCAGCCCCATGGATGAGCGATGCTTCTTGCTGAAGGCCAGACTGAGAAGCATGTCGATGTAGCATGCCGTTTGGCACCCAATCTTGGGCCAAGAGCATTTTCACCGACTCGTGAGTGGTGAGAAGGAGATTGCTTCAGACGGACATTGGATAAGATGGGAGCATGTACCTGAATATCTCAATATGGGGAAGCACCACGTGGATACCGTGAAGCTCACTGAGCATCGAAAGGGCATGGACCTCTTTGAAACTCGGAGCGAGTCGCCCCTGTGGCATCGAATGTGGACTGGTGCCCCGTGGAGGACGAGCCCCGTGCCTCCTTCCCGGACGAGTCGAGGATCACCTGCCCAAACCTTGTTGGGGGATGGGGGACACACCACTCAAATCTCACAGGTGGAAACCAGTTATATAACCCTTTATGGTGGGAAGATGTCTCGAAATTCCATTCCTGTGCCAAGATCTTGCTTAGACATGCGGCGGCTCCCTGTCCTTCTTTCCCTTCGGATGTTCAAGAATGTTCAAGATTGACCAGCTGAGCGGATCGTGGTGAAAGGACACGTAAAAAGGGACCTTCACAGAGACTTGCAGTACGAAAAGAGCTTTTTGCGCGAAGAGGAGCCACATCTTCGCCTAGACGAAAGTCACTGAAGAAGGCAGCTTGTTATATGATGTGTTCCTCTTAAGGAGTTTTGATCCAATAAAATTAACTTATTAGTAGGTAGTCTTGGGTTGACATTGGTGTCAGGTGCTCTCGAAATTGGTGGCGGTGCTCATGGTTGCGCTCTTTCTCCTGCTGTTCATAGCGCCTGAACTACAGAGGGGGCGCCTGAAACAGGGCCAAACGCATCTGGAAACATGGGTTACTTTTGGTGTCTAGACTAGAATTGCCTATTGTGAGCATGAGGTTCTTGTGACCTTTTTGTGACTAACCCCCTTTCCGCAGTGGAGGGGCTCGAGCTCTGGAGCCTAGGAAAAGAGGCGCGTGGACGCCCTTGGACCTTGACGGTTCGCTTTTTGTCCTTTTAGAGGACGCGGTTTGCATGGTAGGCGGAGCTCCTGACCACGTTCCTGGTGGCCTTGGCTATGCCTGCTGAGGAGGTCCCTTCATGGGACGGAGATCCTTCGGGATTTGAAGCATTCGCGACATCATGCCGCTGGTACGAGGCCTCCCTCAAGGACAACGAGAGGAAGCTGGCGGCACCCCGCATCTGGCAGCGATTGGCTGGAGCAGCCAAGAGCGTGGTTCGCCACCTTGATCCCAAGGACTTTGGGACGGAGGCTGGCCTTAGCAAGCTTCTTGGTGTACTTCGAGAAAGCCCGCTGCAGAAGCTTCCAGTTCCTGACAGCTTCAACCGCCTCGAGAGATGGTCTGGACTTCGGAGGACCCATGCTGAAAGCATACCCCAGCTCTTAGTCCGAGAAGAAGAACTGTTTGTTGAACTTCAACAGGCATTGCAACGTGCACGAGCTGAGAAGATGAAGCATGAGGTTCGATCTATGGCTGTCGGAGCTGAAGAACACGATCCACCGACCTCGCCCTCGAGATCACCCAATGTCACCTTCCGAGTGCCCGAGGAGGACGAGGCGCCTGCGGTGACCCGGACGGAGGACAGGCCTACGGCTTTGGACAACACCGGATTCTTCGAGAATGAGCTTCGAGGATATAGATTGCTGAAGGCTGCAAAGTTGTCGGCGGCAGAGCGACAGCATGTCATGACCTTGACCAAGAACAGCACCCATTTCCAGCTCATTCGAAGAGCGCTGAGATCCCTGTTTGCTGACGGTTCTGACGGACCTGAAGAAGCTGGTGGACGTCATCCTCGACGAACTGTTTGGTACGCCGATGACGCCAGTTGGGACCAATGGGACAATGAGCAATGGGTTGATGATGGTGAAGACTGGTGGGACGAAGAAGCCTACTGGAATGACTGGTCGCCTGCCTCAACGTGGGAATACTATGACGAGGACTATGAGTTCGCTGGTGGAGATCAAGTCCATCCTGGTGATGAAGGAGTGGAGTTGACGGCTGAGGAGAAGGAGAATGAGAAAAGGCTGGAAGAGGCCTTCGTGTTGGCTGGTGAGGCAAATCGAACATTGGCGGAAGCCAAGCAAGCAGTGGCCAAAGTTCGTGCTGCGAGGGGCTACTACAGTCCTATGGGCATGAAGGGCAAGGGCCGCTCGTCGAAAGGCAAGAAGGGTGGCTCCAACGGAAAAGGGAAGGGCTCTGGTGGTGGCACTATGGGTCCATGCTTCATCTGTGGCATGACAGGTCACGGCTACCAGAAGTGCCCTGACAGATGGTCTTCGGGGAAGGGCAAGGGCTCTCCCACTTCATCGCCTTCATCTTCGAGGGGATCACCTTTTGGCAAAGGCAAGGGCAAGTCTGGCAAGAGCAAGAAGGGCACCGCCTATTTTGTGGACTATGATGGCGAGATGTGGTGTCCTGAAGTGTATGTCTTGTCGCTTGCAGAGGACGAGTCATCGGATGACCTAGCCACCTCGAAGGCGATTGTGGACACGGGTGCGACGGAGTCAGTGGCTGGCATTCGCTGCATGTCTCGGCTGATTGACACGGCCGGGATCCCCTATGAGATCGAGTTGAATGACAGGCCAAGGTTTCGCTTTGGCAATGGAGAATGCCAGAGAGCTGTGTCCAAGATCCATTTGTCGACACCTTCCCTGGGCAGAGTGAGCTTCTACTTGCTGGACGGTGGTGCTGAGAGGACCCCGATGCTCCTTGGTTCTCGCGATCTTCGATCTCGAAAGGCCATGGTGTCCTACTACGGAGACTACCTTGCCCATCGAAGTCCGATCACAGGCAATTGGTGGGCCAACAACCTCACGAACTTCCGAGGTGGAGGACATCTGATTTTGGACTTGCTGGAGCCTCGGACACCTCTCCGATTCCTGATCCAGCGTCTCAACACCCATTTGAACGGACCACGACCTCCCGGCGATGATGAGCCGGATGCTGGAGATGAAGATGAAGATGATGGAGATGATGATGACAGACCTGGTGGTCGGAGACGAAAGCGGTCTCGCAATGAGGCTGGCTTTGAGGCTGCACGAGATCTGCTGAGGGCTTCCATGTGGAATGCTCATCGTGAAGATGCTGCTGTTGGTGCGATCAGGCCTGAAGACCATGTTGATCGAGTCCTGATGGCGGCCGGACCTAGCAACTTGACCAATTCGGCACCTGGTTCACCTTCTGTTGAGATTGAGGTTGCACCGATGCCGGAAGAGACTGGACGACCTTTTTCATCCTCGCGGCTTGCCGGAGAAACAGAAGAAGTGGCAGCACCTTCAGTGGTTGACCATGACATCATGATGGTCCCTCCTCATGCTTCCGAATTTGCCCCCATGTCAGAAGGAACTAGATTGGATGAGATCATTTTGGGATCACCTGAACGTGAAGAGAGAGACCTTGAGACAGCAGTTCATGGTGACGGACATGGAGACAGTGGACATGGACATGAGCATGGAGACAGTGGACTTGAGCATGGTCTAGAAGTCAGCGGACATGTGCATGAGCCTGCAGACAATGGTCATGGAAGTGAAGTTGAGGCATCAGGTGGACACGAGGTACATGAACATGATGAGTGTCAGCTAGCTGTACCTGTTGATCGTGTGGCATCAATCTTGATGGTTACCAGAACGGATACAGCATCTCTTCGTGACCGCCTCAGCTCACTGGCTCAACGACTTCGTGAGTCACAGGCCCATCCTTCCGAAGAGTCGGAGAATGAAGGCATGCCCACCGGTTCACGACCTAGATCCTCGCCATGTCGGATGGCCATGCATGGGCACTCACCTGCCGGGCAGAGACCGCTCCAACAAATGGGCAATTTGGCAAGCATGCAGCAGGTGCGGCTTGCGGCTTCGATACATCACGAAGGGCAGTGGTACCGGCGAGACAAGAGCCATTGGACCACAGCCAGAAGTGGTGGAGATGGCCCAAGTGGAACTCCAAGAGATCTACCAGGCCAAGGAGATGAACGAGAAGATCTTCAACGGCAAGCTCATGGAGTTGAAGGGGCGCAGCCTGGTGGAGAATGGCGGTCATGGGAGGACGACGGTTCAGGTGAGGGCAGACGAGAAGCTGGGCGAAGCTCTGATGAGCTCTACTTCCTGCGGAACAACGAGGACCAGCGAGAAGGGCTATGGGACACCACTGCCCAAGAGCACCTCACCGGTCAAGCCGACCTCCAAGACCGAGCCCAAGAAGAAGGTGGAAAAGATGACGACTTCCCCATCGACAGAGACACCAGCGACGGCATCCTCATGGACGCCGGTGGACATCGAGACAGTGAGCGTCGAGTCGGGGACATCACTCGAGGAGGTGGAGACGGTTCTGGAGACGGTCGCGGTGACCAAATCCCGGAAGGGCAAGAAGGAGAAGGAGTCCGCAGCCGAATGAGCCATCTTTGGGATGCGCTGAGCGGACTACGAGCCAGGATGAAGGCTGGAATGTGCCGACAGCGGCTGGAGGCTGCAGATGGCACCAATACTTCAACATCAACTATGAGCCCAACACGCAACCCACAACAAGCACAGGAGATTGTTCCTGCAACAGACACTACGAATGACGACAGCACTACGAACCCTGCTACTTGCTTGACGTGCACCTGTACAAGTTCAATGGCGGCTGGAGTGGCTCCATCCTACTTGAATGAAGAGTTCGAGGCCGTGAACAACGTGCACAAGAAGCAGGTGCGGCCATCGTTGGCCAAACGGCTGGCCATAGCGGCAGCCATGACTGTTTCCGTGATGGATCCAGTGCGAGAGCTAGTCAACATGACGAGTCCTCAGGTCGACTTGATGGAGATCGCCTGCTCGAAGGACAGCCTGCTGACCAAGACCTTCGAAGAAGCTGGTTTCCAATGCCAGCGGATTAACTACCTCAGCGGCTTTGACCTGGATGCCCGGAAGGGGACGAGTAAGCTGGACGATGCCATCAAGACGGCGAAGCCACGGCTGACCTGGGTTTCATTTCGATGCACTCGCCTTTCCGCACTGCAAAATTTGACTGAACGCAGTCCGGAAGAGATGGACAAGTTCCTGAAGCGACGTGGAAATGACCTACGCCGATGTGATGAGATCTCGGCTTCCCTAGACCATGTTCTGGCTTCTGGAGGTGATGTAGCATGGGAATGGCCAACAACTGCTGCTGCTGGTTGGAGATCCCGAGCCATCGATCGACTGACGAAGATGTTGAAACGTCATGGACGAGGTCCTTACTGGATCCGGATCGACGGATGTGCATACGGGCTACAGTGGCAGGGCACTCCCTTGAGAAAGGCATGGACGATTCTCACTTCCAGCCGAGAGCTATGGTTGACCTTGAACAAAAGATGTGACAGGTCTCATGAACATGCAGAATGTCGAGGTATGGCTGCACAAGCATCTTCGTACTATCCCCCACGGATGTGCAAGGAGATTCTGAAGGGCATGAAGCATGCGTGGCAGCAGCAGACAAGCTCATTGGAGAAGGACGTTGAGAAGCATATCTTCCAAGTGATGGATGATCGAGATCAGATCTCATCTGCGTCACTACCTCGTCGACTACCAGAAGGGCAACGTCCTGGACCCACGATGGCGGCGCTACTTGATGATGTTCGCCGATCTGAACTTCCTGGACTGGTGGAGGATGAACCTCAACACCTACCAGAACACGAGATCCTTGCTTTGAGCCGGAAGCGAATTGATGCTGAAGAGGCTCCCAAGGGCAAACGTCTGGAGGCAGTGAAACAGCTGATGCTTCGAGTTCATCGTGCCAGTGGACACGCAGGGATGTCAAACCTGGTTCAACTGTTGAAGGCTAGAGGGTCACCAGGTTGGGCACTTGAGCTTGCTGCTAACCTTGAATGTCCTGAGTGCAAAGAAGCATCAAAACCTCGACCTCGACCTCCTGCAGGGACCAATGAGACTCCGAATCCGTTTGAGCAGATTGGCACCGATGTCTTTGAGTATGAGGAGAAGGATGGTGTCAAGCACAAGATGATCCTATGGCGTGACCGAGCGACAGGTCTAACGATGGTGGATCACCTCGCTCGCTACGAGAGTGGCGCATGGGAGCCGAAGAGTCAGAACATCATTGAAAGTCTGACGAAATGGTTGATGACCTATCCTCAACCGAAGTGGATTCTTTCAGATGCAGCTCGATACTACATCAGTTCTGAGCTCATGAACTTTCTGAACAGGTCTGGTGTTGGATTGGCCACGGCCCCGGCAGAAGCACATTGGATCATGGGTCCAGAGGAGAGCACCATTGGCATCCTCAAGAAGACGGTGGAGCGCTTGCAACGTGAAGGAGACCGTTTAGAGGTGGCACAGCTCTTCCAGTTGGCAGCGGCTGCCAACAACAGTCATATCGGACCTAGTGGCTTCAGTGCATACCAATGGGCTTTTGGCCATGGCGGAGGAGTTCTTGACGATCAGTTGCTGCTAAAGGGCATTGAGCCTCGGAAGGCCTTTGACAATCTGGTGAAGGAGCGAGAGAAAGCCAAGATTGCCTTTGAAAGAGAGCGAGCTGGTGACCGATTTAGCAAGCTGGCAAACGCTGTGGGCAGAAAGGCAAGCTCCTACAAACCTGGTCAATTGGTCATGGTTTGGCGGCAGAAGGTGCGACCTGGAAAGGTCAAAGGTGGTTGGTCTGGACCCCTGAGACTGGTTTTGATGGAGGGATCAACGGCATGGCTTGTTTCTGGAGCAACACTGATCAGGGCCAAGCTGAACCAGATCCGCCCAGTCTCTCAGCGCGAACAACTGGATGCGACTTTGGAGGGCACGACCATCTATCGGGCACCTGTGACGCTGGAGGCTCTTATGAGATCGTTCCAAGGACGATACTACCTTGATGTTGCTGGCGATGTTCCCAGTGAGGCACAACAAGTTCATGATCTTGGACCAGCTACCATCCATCAAGAACCTGGACCTGAGCGCGTTGGCAATGACACTTGGGCATTGCGTGAGAAGGATGGTAAGAGATTTTTGGTTCGAGTCCACGAACTTCCACGACTTGCACTGTTCAATCCTTCAAGAGCGACGTCATGCCCTGTGGATTTGGAGGAACTGACTGGAGATCGCAAGACGATCATTCGACCGATTGCTGGCGGCGATGAGGTGACGATTGAAGACACTGTGGACCAGCAGAAGACTTTGCAAGACAGATGGACTGGCGAGACCTTCTTTGAGTTGATTTCTGAGACGCAGCGCACCCCAAAGAGACTGCGAGTCAGAAAAGAGAAGGGTGAGAAACGAAAGGCTGAAGAGGAGTTGGAGGACACATCTGATCGACTTGGCCCATCACAACCGAGCTCTATGGCAACAGACCTTAATGAGGCCTTGAAGACAGTTGGTCCGAATGTTCTGGACGGAACACCGTTGCGAGGTGAATCCGGAGCAAATCGATGTCCTGTACCTGATTGCGATCTTCCTGGTGGACATGATGGACATCATCAGGACCGAGATGGACAGACCTTCATGTATGACCTCTACGAAGGCAAGAAGGCACCAGTGGAGGCAGCCGACGGCGACGAGTCAGAAAGCAGCTCATCATCGTCGTCTTCGGCACGGTCAGAATCCTCAGAAGAGCTCATGTTGGTGGAGAAGAAGCCAAATCGCCGATCCCGGCGAGCAGCGGTGGAAACGCCAAAGGAGGAAGAGACCTTCGTTTCCTTCACCTTGGAGGTTGACGAGAAGGACTTTGAGTGGCTTGCCAAGAACAAAGATCGACATCGTGGAACAGTGTGGCTAAGCAAGAAGATGTCAGCCAAAGGTACTGAGGTGGAGTGGCACACCCTGTCGATGGCCGAGAAGAAAGAGTTTGATTTGGCGATGGCCAAGGAGTTGTCACAGGTTGTCATCAGCAAAGCCTTGAGGAATCTCACGACCAAGGAGAATAAGGACCTCGACGCCAACAAGCTGATGAGAATGCGATGGGTGCTCACGAGAAAGGGCGATGGAACGGCCAAGGCCCGCCTTGTGGTCTTAGGCTTTATGGCACACAATTTGACCGAAGTGGCCACAGCCTCGCCGACCATGTCCAGGGTCGGTCGCAACGTCATTTTGACGTTAGCTGCAGCCCTGAAGATGAAGGTCAAGGCCGGTGATGTGACGAGCGCGTTCTTGCAGACTGGCATAAGCTTAGAAGATGAGGAGCTGAATGTCATGGCACCGCCAGAGCTAGCAGCCATGTTTGGAGCAAGTCCTGGTGATCAACGAGCACTTCGAGTCCGTGAAGCCTTCTACGGATTGGCACATGCACCACGAAAGTGGTACGAGAGGTGCGTTCAGGTGATGCAGGACACGGGATGGACACAGCTCCTTGGGGACAAATGCTGTTTTGTGCTCCTACGTGTTGAAGAAGATGGTTCATCATCAATACACGGTCTGGCAGGTATCCATGTGGATGACTTCCTGTTGGCTGGTTTGGTGGACTCCGAGCACTACAAGTCCCGAGAGAAAGCACTTGCCGAGGCATTTCGATGGGGCAAGTGGGAGGAGAACGAGTTTGAGTTCGCCGGTTGCAACATCCGCCAGATGCAGGATATGAGCATTGTCTTGAACCAAGAGAAGTACTCCAAGAGATGGCTTGAAGAGGTGGAGTTTGATAAGGAGAAGGCTCGAAAGACACCTCTCAATGCGGCTGAACTTTCTGCGATGAGAGGAGCGCTTGGAACTGTGAGCTGGAGGGCGACGCAGACTGGCCCGCAGTATCTTGCAGAAGCTTCCTTGCTGCTGAGCGAGATCAACCGGGCGACCATTGAGTCTCTCTACAAGGTGAACCGCCTCATCCGGGAGATGAAACGTGAGAGCGGCCAGGGATTGCTTTTTCCGTCAACATGGAACATCAAGTCTGTGTATGACCTGGCAGTGATCACGTGGGCTGACGCATCACAACATAACCGACCAGATCGGAGCAGCACAGCTGGCATTTTGTCTGGTGTGGCTCCCCGCCAAGCACTTCTTGGTGAAGAAGTTCAAGTGGCCTTGGTGCAATGGAAGAGCGGGAAGACTCCGCGACAGTGCCTTGGATCCAATGGAGCAGAGGTTCAGGCAATAACCATGGGAGAGGATCAGAACTACCAGATCAGGTTGCTGCTGGCAGAGTTTGCTGGAGAGAAGATCCAGCGAGACAAGCTCCATGACGCCGTGAAGGTGGTGGCTGGAGCGGTTGTGATGGACTCCCGCGGCATCTATGACGCGATGACCCGGAACCTTTCATCCTTGCATGGACTGAGAGATTCAAGAGCCGGATATGAGCTCACCTTGGCGGTGAATCAGGCGCTTCGAGCTGGAACAGAGCTTCGATGGGTGAACGGATTGGCACAGCTTGGAGACTCCCTCACCAAGTTCGGAGCCCGCAAGACGATCTTGCAGTTCTTCTCGCAGAAGCAGTTCTGGAGACTGGTTCATGATGACAAGTTCGAGGCAGGGAGAAAGATCCATAAGAGAGCTTTGGAGAAGAAATGGCGCGAGATGCAGGCCAACTTTGTGGACACCCTGAGAGGACTCGCGGCCAAACACAATTGGCCTTGGGACTGTGAAGAGCCCATGCCGGTGTACCACCCGCTTTACGACCAAAAAGGTCAGGGAGGTGTACCAATGTGAGCATGAGGTTCTTGTGACCTTTTTGTGACTAACCCCCTTTCCGCAGTGGAGGGGCTCGAGCTCTGGAGCCTAGGAAAAGAGGCGCGTGGACGCCCTTGGACCTTGACGGTTCGCTTTTTGTCCTTTTAGAGGACGCGGTTTGCACCTATATATACTCGTACCCAGAACCTGATTGACACCTGTTTTGGAGCCCAAAGCATGGGTCTTTTCCTATCAAAACAAAGGTCATGTCTGGGTTTCACGGACAAACCCGCCTGGCCTGGAATACTTTTCTAGGCGAAGGTCGATCGACAGGTCTCCACGGATAAAGCACACCTGTCTTGCTTTGTTGTTTTTTCCGTGCGATGTTCACTATAGCTCCTGAATCCTTTCTCCACAGGAACAGGCGAACAGGGAAGACAAGATCTCTTGATTTCCGCGATAGGTCGTTCGGCATCTTCGTTCGAGGAAACCCGGGCGACCCAAACCAGACGCGAGGCTACCCTGTTTGACCAGGGGCCGTTCGGGCGAGTTGGTGTTGAGAAAGTGCCTAACTGACGTGTGACCCAGAGAGACACGATCCGCCAGGCCTGAGAACTGGCACAATTGATATACATTGACCCTTTTTTTGAATGTAGGTATATATATATATATATAAGGTATATGACAGTTAGTATGACAGCCCATGGAGAGTGTATGGGATAGCTCACATGTGTGTTTAGGACTGGACTATTGCCTGCCGTGCCTGTGGCAGAATGCACTGCAATTGCTAAACCACCTGTTCCGTTGTCACACCCTACCACACCCAATCCATTTTGCACCAGAATTTCTTCATGCCCTCTGCCTTTCTCTCTACCTTTCTCTCGGACCTCCTTAACGGACGCGGGTTCTCTTCGCGCCGGAATCGGGTTCGACCGAGCATCTCACTTGGTGGCGCCCGAGGCAGTGCACTTGCATTTTAGACCACTCTTTTCTTGGCTCGTCTTCACTGATGCGGTGCTGCTCTTCGCCGTGACCTTGTCCTTCCTTGGCATCCGAGGCGAGTTGAGTCAGCAGTGCGCGTTTCTGGTTTGTTGTTTTGAGAAGAAGTTGGCAAGTTTGGCTGCCATCTTGGCAAATTTGTTTCTGCCTGCCTGGAGTCTCAAAGTACTTCAGAAAATGGGTACAAGGACATGTTTTTATAGGGTCATGTCCCATTTTCTAAGGTACTTTGGAGGGTCCAGGTGGTTCTTTGGTTTCATCACAATCAATGTGGTGCAGAAGTGTAGAACTTGTCAATTTGCCCCATGTTTGAGCTCGAACAACTAGAACGGATGGTCAAACACTCCACTCACCACCCCCTCCATCACACGGATGTGGTGGGGAAGGGCTTCCACATGTGAGCCACGGTCAAAACATGCGAAGACCGTTTTAGTAAAGAGGGGGAGGGGTGTGCACAAAACCCTGCAAAACGATAAGGTCCACCTCAAAACCGATAACCCCAGCGCTGTATATGATCATAAGTATGCGACGAACTCAAAACACTGTAAAACGATAAGGTCCAACTCAAAACCGATGACGTCCATTTTTTTGTTGAAGAAGAATAAGGAGTTTTGACCGTCCCTCATGTGTCAATGTGTAAGGACTGTACATCGCCTCTTGACTGACCCAATGCCAGATGTAAAGCTGCGAGACGGTCTCCTCTATACATCTTGATGTTTCCTCTGCAACTCTGAGTCTTGAGTACACTCCCACCTCAGGCTTGAGGAACCGCACCTGAAAACATCGTTTGGCCGGTTCTTCTGGGAGCTTCTTCGTACAGCACAAACTACTGTGCCAGCATCATCACAGACACCCCAACCGGCTTCAGCCGACGTCAGGGACGAAAGGGCCAGTCATCTCCCCCAGTCCTTCACCAGGCACAGCGCAGCTGCCGGGGGGGCTTTGCCTTCTTAAGGCGGGGAAATGGTGAGAGAGAGAGAGAGAGCCCAGGACGAGCCTAGGCTAGGCTTGTGAATGGTGAGAGTTCGAAAGCATGTGGCTCTAGTGTGGCAACTAAGACGACCTTGTTTGTTTGTCTGCTGGCAGAGACAGAAGAGTGCGTATCAATAAGTAGGGAGACCTCCCAAACACGCCCTGGTGTCTCCCTAATGTTTCAAATACTGTATATTTCCATAGGAAGGGAAGCTTGGTGGCTGGGATGCTTTCTTGCTCTTCCTGTCACTCGATCTTGAGCAGCGCAGCTTGGGTCTTCGACAGAAGACCCCAAAAGCCGTCCAAGAAGAGCTGGCTCGGTGGGACTCATCTTCCATTGGACTCATCCCTAGGGCTCCAAGAGAGGGTAGTTAGACCCCCTGGCACCCACCCCAGAAATGGCCCCTCTTGCTTGGCAGGAAAACTTTTCGGACGGCCCTGAAAGGTGGTAGCTTCAGAGATGCCTTGACTACGACTCCATAGCGAACGCTACACTAAAGCCTACTCGCCCGCGTGACACTCATGATGACTTGAGGCCTCATGAGGTGCTGCAGCTTTCTGTGATCCAACTGCTGATATTTGCTGATTGGACTTGTGGAATTCGAAGCCGGCCTCTTAAACACAACCAGGGCCCCACAACCAGGGGTGGTTAATGATGTTCTTTGGACATCCCTTAACCTCCAAGAGGGCTATGATTAGACACCCCCGACAGGGGCCCGGAGAAAAAAGCCAGTTCCGCAGGTCTTCCCATCTCCCTTCCGCAGGTCTTCTTCGCCCGCGGCTCCAAGCTCTTTCGCTGCGGTCCACACTCCGAAGCCGCCACCGCGACGGGGACGGAGTTCGGTTACAACCGCGCGTCCGGATGGAACCCGCGGAGTTCCATCAGCGACCACTCGGAGCTGGTGCGTGCCTGGAGCGAAGGGCGGAGGCTGTGAAAGACGGAGCGAGCTGAGCGCGCGAAGGCGATGAAGGCAGGGCGGGGTGTTCGTTGGCAGCGGTGAAGACGTTTCATCAACTCCCTGCTATAGGTCAGGAACAGATCGAAGCTGGAGTTGATCAGGACAAGGTGAAGCTCAGGACCTGGACCAATGAGGTGAAGCTGAGAACCTTCGGGTTTCCGGGGGGGGCTTTGGATTGATAGGGTTGGGTACATATAAGCATCCATATACCAATTGGATGGCATAGGGGAGGATCATGATATCATATTCTATCTAACGGGTCCCGGTAGTGATTGGTGTATTGCATTTCCTCTCATCCCCGCATATTCAATGTTGGGATGTTGGAAGGTTCTCGTAGAGTGCATGAATCAACCTGGACCCTCTCCTTCATTCGTACCCATACAAAAATGGCACATGATGACCCCATACAAAAACAGGTACGACTGTACCCATCTTCTGAGAATACGAGTTCCGGGTCGACTCCAGGAAGATTGAATATATGCCACCTAAGCATGTTCGTACCTTTGCTGTATGTTTTGGGGGGGAGACAGCGATGACCGGTGGGTCCCCGTCACGAGACCGACGG